TGTTGATTTTAAGAGTAACTTCCGAGATATTTCTGAACGTCAATTCTGCAGTAAATCCTATTTTGACTACATTTAGACTTAAAGAACTGAAGCGATCAATTGAAGTAGTATTATGTGGAAGAGAGAACATCAATAATGTGGCAGATTTGGAAGATCAGCATCTTCAAACTTCGAGAGCGCATTTATCCAATTGTCCACGTTAATCAGAGAGGAATCATACGCACGGGAAAACCTAACTCCGATCATTTTTATCAATGTAGAAACAAAATATTTCAATACGCGACTGTATTGAATAGATGACTTCTACTAAAAATTTAAAAACAGCCTCACCAAGGATACAAGGCCACAACCATAATATAAATCATTTGTCGAACAATGAAGCCTTACGTTAGTTTAGTTGTTTTTTTTTTTGGTTTTTTTTTTTTTGGCCTTATCGCTCCACGCAAGTGTTTTAAAACCCTACGGCTTGCAGTTGAATAGACTCATTAGAGCAGGTGTGCATTGCCTAAAACGCCACTTCTTTGAGGCTAATCATCATGCATTAAAAGGAATCTTATTAACATTAACTCAGTCCACGTAGTAAATTCTGACGAACAAAAACAAATCCAACAAGCTGTGCTTTCAAAACGAGCCTTTTGAAATAGAGTGATCAATACCTAATATACTCTCACGTGTTTCAATGCATCGTAAAAAAATTACTGCTTTCAGTCATATTTTAGGCCTTACCAGCGGCCTAAAACGTCAAATAATTGTAAATCGTTTCTGCGTGGTGCATTTATCAATAAAAGTGGACCCTGTTTATACTGCCAAAGACCCCACATATCTTAAATGAGCTATATTCATTTTTTTTCTTGGTCTGGAATCTTAAATCCTCGAATCTGATATTCCATTCCCCTTGGATGACCGTTTAAAACAGGTTTGACTGAAAGAGCACTTTACTGCTTCTGAATTGCATAGTAAATTTTTTTTTAATCTATTTGCCACTTCGCCAGAGGGAGAGATTTACAAAAACCGGTACGATTTTTTAAATTTTTTTTTAATTTTTTTCTTTTTTTATCAGAACAGTCATAACGTTTATCAATTTGCAATTTGGGTGTTCATTCATTTTAGGAGGACATTGAAATAAACGAACGTACACCAAACAAACAGTGAATTTAAACTTTTTCTTGTTTTTTTTTTCCTTTTGGAATCCGACACAAGAACTGAATCAGAAGTTAGAAGTTCATCAAGCCTTTCTCTAGATAAACTATCGTAGGGAGATACGACGACTTACTGTAGCAAGAATAAATGAACATAAATAAAGTTGATACTCACCCATAAATCTTATCAACAATGCGTTCGTACTCGATGATTGAAGAATGTTCATTTCTTCAAGAAATAATTTCCCCGCGGCTAAAAAAGCCAACTTAAGCCGGATGATGCACTCGCTATATGATAGAGTGTATTATATTACAGTCGGTATAATGGTTTGTCCATTATCTTCTATATCTTTTGTGTAGAAATTATTGCTCGTGAGTGTTTGATAGACCGGTATCTAGTAAATGGATGATTTCAGCTTGTATTTTGTTAATTTTTAGCGACAGTCAAGCTTTTAAAATGCAACATATTTTTCTCGATTTAGAACTGGCTGACATGTACAGTGTGAACGTCCGGTATTTCATTTCGCAGTTACACCACAATGTCATCTGAAGTCAGAACAAACATTTTCTATTTGTTCTTGAATAGAAGGAAATGACTAATTTCAGACATTTCTTAAGAACTACCATTTTAAGCGTCGGGGTTACTTTTTTAAATCTATCGCAGATTTGCCGTAAACTCTTTAATCTCTCTTCTAACGGCTGTCTTATTTACATGTCATTCCTATTTTACTAACTTTTTTTGCCTAAAGCAAATTTAAAATGGGCATAAGTTTTTTTCTGCCATTAGAAACCTGCCCCTGACAGCCCATTTAAGTTCAAACTTAAAAAGTTAGAAAAACCAATACAAACGAATAATTTAAAACGAGACCAAAATTTTGTAAATTAAAAATGATGCACTGAGAAAGTCACAGTGGGTACTATAATTTATATTGAAATTAGAAATCAAATAGCAGCGCGCTTATAAGGATCCTTAAATGTTTTCCTTGTTTTCTACATTTGTAAACCAAAAATAATTAATAGTCATGAAATTGGAGAACTACTACGTTTGTTTCTTTATATACACGAGTGTTTTTGGGACAAACTTCTTCAGTGCAGTGCTTTTCTCGCGCCGATAAACCTTAACTCGCCAGTAGCATTACGCTTGAAATACCCTTATCATGATATCAAACCCTGAAAAATTATTTCCGCCCAACACGGAATTTTTTTTTCGGAAAATATTCGAACCTACAGGAAAGGATACGTATAACAGGAGTACATGATCCTATATGAATTGTATGTCCAAGATCCTGAAATGCATACCAGCCTTGCAACTTACTTCACCTCCCTTGGTTTTGCATTTAAAATAAGGTATCCAAACCTCCCCCCCCCCCCCGTTGGGGAAAAAATTAAACAAAATAGACGTGACTTCATTTGTATATTCCTGATAGTTTATATTTCCTCAAAGGTGTTTCGGTGATAAACAAGAAGTAGCAAATGCGAAAAATCGCTGTAAGAGTTGCTACTTGTGTATATGCATTCATGTTGTATCTATCGATGCCGACTTTTCCTCTAACTAGTTTTCATTCCAACATTTTAAGCAATACACTTGATTAAACATTTCGACTCTGAGAAATTTGAGAACATTCGTCATTTTCCTGACATGGATACAAAAAAAAAAAAAAAGAAGGAAAAGAAAACAAATTTGGCTTTAAAAAATAATAATGATGACTAGATAGGTGAATATGTATTTATTATACATTTGTTTATTTATCCATTATTGCTATAGGAGCAACTATTTTGTGTCACATTCAATTTGATTACGTATCTGACTTACTATATGGAACACGAAAACAGATTAAAGAAAAGACGTTAAAATCGTTGATTTGTATGTTTAACACAATTTATAGGCAATCAAGCTTTTACACAGTTTTTTTCTTTTAATTTTAGGGCGAACCTTAAACTTAACAATAAAAGTACAAACATTGCAGTTGACTAACTTCAACGGCTTAGAATGTAAAGCTCTTCTACAAGTATTAACATTAAGCAGAAATATCTTAAGAAGGGCGACAAACCGAGTGAAATTTATATCATTTTATCCGTCCCATTAAAACAAGGGTCCATGCATGTACTATTGTTGTTGGCAGTACTGTCTCCAATTTATCCAAGCTACCTTTGCAAAGAGCCTACTTCCTATGGAAACAGATAGACCCATGATTTACCAGGATGCCGAATGCGGCCCTTCGTAATAACAATTAAAGTCAACACCTAATAGCATTATATAAGCGGTTCATTTATGTATTTACGTCATCACGATAATGACCAGAATGGCCCTACCTTTAGTGAAGGAGGGGGGGGGGAGGGGTGGCATCGGGGTCTACTAAACCGCAGAACTGAAAAAAAATAAATTGAAAACCGCAACAAAAATTCGCTTAAAGCCGAAAATCGCATCCAAAACCGTCTAAACCGATTTTTCACATCCTAGTTGTCAAAACCCTAATCGATCCAATACAGATGACAGATGGAGCACAAAGAGGTCTCACAGCTATGGAGGCAAAAAGATTGCCGCTCAGATCGAAGAGGAATTGGAACCCAAATAGGAAAAGCCAAAACTACTTCGGACTCCAAATCTGAAAACCCATTAGTATTTTTGACGAAAACCGAAAACCAAGTGCCAAGACTCGGAAATCTGCGAAGCACAATAAACACCAAAACTGTAAAACCGAAGTTTGTTTGGTACAAAACCGAAAAACCGATCTAAAAAAATGACGAACACCGCAAAACCAAAAATCCTAATCCCCCCTTCCCTACTGATACTACAGCTCTACTGAGGAACTACTGAGGGAAGATCATGCTAAGTGATTGCAAATCGCTAAAAGAGGATTGACTAGCTTCACCGAGGCGCAGTGCTATTTATGCATTGAAAGACTGCATTTCGACTGCCCGTATTTTCCCGGCATCACTTGCGTTAACTCGTGAGCTCTTCCTTGCAGAGTTTCCAACTTCGAAAGATGGAAAAATTGCGTTCATCCTCCTTTTCAATCGCTCTCTAATCTGTAGATGAACAATTGGCCAAATATCAGTTCTTAACCATCCAAAGCTCACTGATTCTAAAGTCTTCGCAATTCACTTGATCTACCTCCCCTGTTTGATATCTTTCTTACCTGGCTGTTTCGCACACAATGGAAGAAAAAAATCAGGAATCCCTAAGACAGAAAATTATTTTAAGATCAGCCTTTTTTAGAGATGGTAGCGCGTCGTTTGTTGTAGTGCAAACATCATGTAATCTCTATCTTGAAATCGTCTTTAAAAAATGGGTAAAACAGTAAATTAAGGGAAGTTGCAGATCTCAAAAACCAAGAAATAAATCCTCTCTTGTCGACTAAGTTCCCTTCGAACGGGAAATATCATCAGACTATTGTAAGAACGTAGTCTGGACATTGAAGTTTGCCAACAGATGATTAGATTTCCGACAGTCTCATTAAAATCTCACCTGAATCGAATTGACGATGGTGAAAATGTAGGCGAAAGCTTTTTGTGATGACGACAAAAGACCGAATACTCACCTGAGTTGAGTTAAAGATGGTGAAAATGTAGGCGAAAGCTTTGTGCAATGGCGACAAAAGACCGAATAGCCAAGTTATACCCATCAGTGGAATCATCACCGCGCATGTTTTAAAGCTAAGTCTGCCGGAATAACGATAACATTAAAAAAAAGTTTGAATTATTTGATTGTTTCCTGTTCATGATCATGAATTAACCTCTTCAAAGAAAAAGAAATTAATTTCTCACTGTTTATTGCTAACTAGTGTGGAATTGAGGCAAATACCTCACAACTAGATGTTACAGCAATTGGTTCCCGTTTATTTAACTTTTTTCCCTCCACTGATTAAAATATTTCGCTAACTACAAATTTTAAATCTTACCGTATCTGCTTGATATGAATGTCTTCCCCCATAGGCTGCACTAGCGTGGTCATCTCTTTTATGACTCGGACAAGAATCAAAATGTTGAGCTGAAACAAACAAGGAATGTCAAATATCGGCAGAGTGGTTGTTGCTAAGACGAGTAATGCTGAATACATATGTGGGCGTAAATGGAGTTGAAAATATTGTGAGCTTTGAGCCTGGTGGTCGAAAACAGAAATATGATTTTCCTTTCGTAATAAGCATGGGAACAAGAGAGACGATCTCCACCAGTGGTCAATGCGAGGGACTGACTAATTTTAGACTCACCACTTCAACGAAAGCCATAAATGCGGCGAATATCCAGATGAGGTTGTTTGTGTAGGACAGCCAGCAACTTGAAACGAGAAACGGAGGGAAAAAAATATAAACATATTTTTGCTGCAAATAATCCTCTAACACAGTAACCCAGAGAAATAGAAGACAGGGAGGGAGACAGAAAGAGAGACAGAGACAGAGACAGAGACACAAAACCTGGATAAAAACACAGGGACACAAAAATCTACGAAATGAAACCGAACTAAAAACAAAAGAAAAAGAGTTGTACTTAAAAAAATACACTTTTGTGGGAGACAGGATATGTGGAGAAGGAGAAAAAAGAACTAATGTCGAAGGTTTCTCTTACTATTTAGCACTAGTAAAGCTCTCTATTCCATCTTTTCCAGCAGCGATGCATAATGAAATACCGACCGTGACGATGGGTAAACCTAAACATAAGTAGGATATCAATGCAAGTCGATTCAGGTTATCATGAAGTCAAACAATTCAAAACAAGTAAAATGAAAATACCCCATGACATGACGTGATACATGTGCATCTTTTCGGTGATGTTGTAAACTTTCACCACAAAGAGGTAGAGGTAAAATCCCTCCACCAGCATCCAACAGAATGAAGCCATCAGGAAATATTGCATGAAAGCTGCAGCTGTAATGCAAGAGGCCTGAGAGAGAGGAAAAAAGTTGACTACTTTTCATGCATCTTTTCAAAGAGATCTGGTGTACTTCTTAATGCTCGTCTTGAGTCTCGATAAACAAATATTCATCAATGGATGAAGAAGTCGCCTACTTTGTTTTTTTTGGCGTTTATCCCGACGAGAAAAATAAATTGTCCAGCTCCGAGGGCAACAGAAAGACTCAATCGTATTTGTGACAGAGGCTGGTGAATATCTCTAGAGAAACAATAAACAAATAAGAACAAACAGACCAAAACAAACACAAAACCGAACAAAACAAAGGAAAGCAACTTTATGTTGCAACATGCAATTGTTTCATTATGCATTGACTGAGTGTCTATCTTTTCGCGAAGAGGTCTTACTTACGTCTGACATTTTTAAAGTAATGCAAAGTTTTAAAATTTATGGCTGTAACACTTACGTAAGGAAGGAATATAGAATAACTGTCAAAATTATTCCTATGATTGACAGGCTTAATCCCACGTAGGTGATAATCTCCAGAATAGTTTCGTCTTCCTCGGTGAGCTGCTTCATAAATGGCATGATAATAATTATAAATATGTCAATCATCTCGAAGGAATTGTATTACCAATGGTAAAGGTAAGGTAAACATTAGTACATTACCCCTGAGCTGCCGTTGTAGTCAAGTAAGACAGCAAAATGAGTCAAATGATTGCAGCTGCACACTGTTTCTTCTGAGTTGCTTTCTGATTCAACCACATGGCATCCTCCTCCTGAAAATCCTTCTGAGCTGGGAAAAATAAGGACAAAAAAATATAGCATAGCAAAATTAAAACAACAAAAACAACATTATAAAAACAAAAACAGCAAAAAAAGAATAGTAAATAAGACCTTTGGTCACCAAAAGGTTACCTTTCTATCTTTCTTATTACAATCATAGCCTTGAGACTTTGTTGACTGCTTTCCATTTTATTCAATAATTGATATGTGCTACTCATAGAGTCGGTTTTGATATTCTAATTGTTACACTGAGATGAAAGGGTATATTGACCCCAGGCTAGTAAAACACAACTGAATCTTACCTTATGTGAAAAAGAAAATTGGAAAACGGAAAAAACAAAAAAATCAAAGGTGAACTTTTACTTTTACGGTAAACAAAACGATTCTGTCAGCAACACTATGTAAGACGACGACAGAAGCGAAAAAAGGCGACAATCGGAAGTGAAAACGAATAAAATGCATAAAAAAAATGGCTTCAAACCAGAAGTAACAAATTGAAAATGACGGATATTCGAGAACTTTAAGGAAAGTCACATTGGTATCATAGTCAAGTGAGTAGCTTTCCCACTCGAACGTTGTTGTTGTTTTGGTTTTTCCTGCTGCAAAAGCTAATTGGTGTTTCCTTCACAGACAAAACTTCATAACGGTTAACAAAGATTACGTAAGCGCGGCTTGCATAACTTCTAGAACAAGGTAAGTAATATACCTTCTGTTAAAGCCCTTCCAAAACACACAAGCCTTTTTTCTTTCATCAACCTGAAAATGTGTATTATCTCGTTAGAATAAATAAACACAGTGTGGCCCAATTGATACCAATTTTGATCGTGTTGTTACCCTCAGGTTTCTGAACTTTAATATGACATTCGCTTCCAGTTTGTTTGGTTTTGGATCCATGGCCACGCCCATTATCCTGGAGTTCAAATGCCTAACAAAAAAGAAAAGAAAATAATAATTTTGTACAATTTGAATCATATAATTTTTAACGATATGGTAACCATGGTAGCCAAGGAGCTCTAACTGTGTTACTTTAAAGCTGATTTCTTTGACACCGAAAGTAATCATTGATTTACACAGGGACCACGAAATAGGGCTTGGAAAAGTTTAAAAAACTTTCTTGGTTGAATGCGGAAGATACAATTTGTTTAAGATTTTAGAGAAATTAAAATTCACCATGTGTCTTCATTCCTGATCGGTTGATCTAGGTCCAGTAGTTCGTGGAGATCCTTATACACAATCCCAACAACCAGAGAAACTAAAAAAAAAGGAGGAAAAATTTGAAAAGTTAAAAAAAAGTCAGGATTAAACATGTTCTTCCAAGAAATTTCAGATAACTGAATCGATAGACTTTGTAAACAAAGAAATTCAGGACTATGTATATGTGCAGATGTACTTCAACACCGCGTAAATTTGTAAGGCAAATAAAGGGAACTGTACTCATCCATTAAGGAGTAAACACTGCTGTCGATACCAACCGGATTTTGCAAAATTTGCAGACAAAACATTTATGCTTGCTTGCAATTCTTGATCCTCAAGGTAGAAGTCACCTGCATTTTGATAGTAGGCTTTTTGAATACCCAGCACTAACGAAGAAAACACCAGGTGATGGTATTAATAATTTCACGACTCATGTTGGACTGAAAATACAGTCTATATATCATAGTTGCATTAACGCTTTTATTTACTTTACCTCACAACAAATGCAATCCTTAAAAGATTGTAAAATCATCGATAAAATCGCTGGATATAATTATTCAATTCCATCACGATTGATAAACACAAATAGTCAATGGAAGGACCGGAGGAGTCGATTCGATCCAGAAATAATGCTTCCCATTCAGTAACGTGTACAAATTTACTACATCATCAAGGCCTAGAGACCATATTGTGTTCAGACTCACCCATTTTGTGGTTGTCGATCACTTGTGAGGACCTCGTTCCAATCAGGTGGAGCTTGCTGTAATTAAGAGCAAATTCCTCAAAGGCGACTGCCACGTTAAAAGTGAATTCTCTCTTTATCTCGATCTCTTCTGTTACAAGCGCGCGGTCACGAGCTCTTGTGATGTTTTTAATACTTGTGATGAATACTTCCAAAACCACTATGGCTTCCTGTAATGACATGAAATATTTTTGCTCCCGCAAGGTGCTGTGCATTTTTTTAAGAAAATAAAAAGAATCATAACAAATAAACGAGAAAATACTCCATTGAGAGAGCCAACCAATATCGGGTACAAATGTATGTGCACAGGTTAAAGATAGACTCGCCCAGGAAATCAAAATATTTTTACCTGGCGGATCAATTATTCAGGTATTGTCTAATAATTAAAAAACAAATAAAAATGATACTGATAATAATTCTGATAACGATAATTTCGATAATTGTTCAGTATGTGTCCGAATCACTTTCGATGAATGGAATAGTCGTTTCGAGGTTTAACCATGTTTATTTTTAATTTCGGCATAGAATCGCTCGAGTAAAGTTGGTTTGGCTTGAAATTTTCGATTTACTTGGCAATTTCCTTCTCTAAACACCACTATTTCCAAATCGACAACACAAAAAGAATTACTTTTTACGGTATTTTCGTTGTTAGCCGAGCTGTTTTTCAGCCGCTGTATTGTTGTTGCGGTGGCGAAAAAAACCATTTGATAAGCCGGCCATTGTTTTGCCCGCAAATTTTCAGCAAATGTTGTGACATTCAAGGCTCGCACTTTATTGGCTATCTGTGAGTTTCTTTGATTACTGACCAATCAGAATGTCTGGTTTGTTACTTCTTTGCACTGAATTAACCCTATTCTGCACTGAATTAACCTTCTTCGGCACTGATTTACCTGAAAACTGCATTTATCTTAACCAATCAGAACTGAGTAATTTTTTCATGTATATTATTATACGCGTGATAAAAATTCATATTTGCGGAATCCGTTCGAACATTCAAAACACACTGAATGGAGCATCAGTTGCATAACTGCATGTAGAAATTAGTAGAATGAAATACCTGCAAGGAACTGGCGTTGGTGATATCCATTCTTCGAAGTTTAGAAACATATTCAGCCGCCTGAGATAAGAAAAATAACAATTATAATTATAGAGTATGAGGATCCTCAAAGTAAAAAAAAAAACAAACAAACAAAACAAAAGCAAAACAAAAACAAAATACACACCAGCTTTTTAATCATTTTCGACTGCAGCGGCGATGATGGTGTCGATGGCAACAATGACTGTGATGGCAAGAGCGCGGACGAAGGCAAGTCAAGTGGTGACTGCAACGAAGACAACTGAGACCGTGACTTAGGTGACTGTGAAAAAGGTGATTGAGACATCGACAGGGACGGTGATTGTGACAGCGAAAACAATGTCGAGGATAATGACCACAGAGGTAGCGATGGAGTGGAACGTAACTTTATGGATCCGGATGGTGAAGATGCGACTGCAGTTGACTGAAACGTCCACTGCAATGCTGACTGCGACAGTAACTGAAAAGGCGTCTGGGACGTTGATAGCCAAAAAGATAGCGAGTACAACTGACACGGCGAATGTGACGCCGACTGTGAGGGCAGTAGTGGCGATGACTGAGAAGGCGATTGGGAAGGCAATTGGGCAATTGATTGCAACAACGACGTAAACTGCGACTGAGACAGCAAATGAAATGGAGGATGAGACACTGATGAAGAAAACAACTGCGGAACCAACTGCGATGGCGACTGCGACATAGACAATGACGCTGATGGTGACGGCGAACGCAATGGCAACGATGATAACCACAGTGTGGGCGATGGAGTGGGTTGTGGCCGTATAGATTCAGATGGTAAAGATTTGTCCGCAGCTGTGGGTGAGGACACTGGTGGTGTAGCTGACACTGGTGCAATTAACGCCAAAGATAAAAAAACTTTATTAACAAAATGCTCTCATCAACAACTTTTTTTCCATGCTGTTTTCTATATTACATTTTAAATTCAATTTATATTCATTGGAATAATTTAGTTCAATTGTTTGCTTATCTCTAAAATTGTCTTCATGCATCTTACATATGACTCTTTAACTCGTATAAGGCGGCAAATAATTGAATCGCTTTCTCTGTTTACTTTATCAGTGGATAAATAATATCATAATATTAGGTTTATTCTGTACTCTGAATATTTCGCATTGCATTGAAATTAGCACCTATGACTTCTTGGTTCTAATGATCAGATTTTAACTAAGGAAAATGTAAAGATAGGTTGAGTCTGCTAGTAGTTGGTGTTTGTTTTATAATACGATTGTAATAATAAGTTGTCATGTATCTTTATAAAAATGAATCACAAGCCCTTCTATTAAGATAACGCAATTTATAATAATGGATCTAAGATAAAGCAATTTATAATAATGAATCACAAAGGATAACTTTTAACCAGACCAATTGGAGTGACGATTTTTTGCAGCCGATGGTGACCTTCATTTTGTTCAATCAAATAAAGAAAACAAGGAAACTAAAATAGCTGATGATTGAAAGTTTTCACAACTGCTGTTACTCATAAAATCACAGAAGTTATAATTTTCTCGATTGTTGTTTGTTTTAAAAAGCTCCTATCTTCTACAAATTCGAGGTTGCTATGTTACATGCCAAGTTGTTGTCGGACAGTTCGATGAGACAATCACTTTCAAAGTTGTTGTTTAACTCAACTAGTTACAGTCAAAGTTGTTCTTCGAATTATCCTGAATGTCAGAACCTCCATAAGTTCCACTCTGATAGCAGTGGTAAGTGTACCAAACGTGAACACATAGATAACATTCGCATTACTCTTGAGCTCTTGGCGTGCCTTTTACTTAGTTCAGTTTTAAAAATAAAGAGTAATTTTGTCTTACCTTTTGGAATTTCGCAAATATAAGCCAAGTTCCTAGAGCCATGGATATTATAAAATAGCCCCTGGTCGCCATTAACAGACTGCTTGCATATGTGAGCCACAGCTCCCCTACATTGTCGCTCTTCTGCCCATTTAGACATGTTCAGCAGTTTTCTATTCACCCAAGTCCAGTTTTCGCCTTTTTTTTTTAAGCCAATGTACCATCTATTACAACAATAGCAATGGTGGTCACTTGGATTACAGTGGGACATGTTGCGATTTTGAATCTCGTCATTAATGAAATTCCATTCTTCTTCGGTTTCAATGGAGACCAGATCTCCTCCTTGACTTTGGCAGATTCCTCTGTCCGTTGTCCAGTTGCCTCCTTTTTTCGTGAATATATACCAAGAGTTTTGAAAAGAAATATTTGGGCATTCTACGAAATTAAGACAATAATAATAATGACCATGATGATGGTAAATAATAGGAAAATCATTAGGCCAATCAAGGGTACATATAAACTAGCCGGTAGACTGGCGTGTCTCTATCATTGTTATAATTATCGGCATCATCATAATCATTATCAATTTTCATTGTTATTATAACTAGAATTGTAACATTTGTAGCGTCTGTTGATCAGTGTCATTTAAGAACCCGTCCACACTTAAACGTTTTCTTTTGAAAACGGATATTTTTTGATGTGTTTTGCCCTTCCGCTCGCGCTAAACGTTAGAAAACAGAAGCGTTTTCAAATGGGTATAAATCGATTCGAAAACGCTATCAAAAGTGGGAACATTTGAAAGCGCATTCATATCGTTTTAGTGGGGACAGTCAAAAACGGGGCCTTTCGAAGGTAATGACGCTGGGTGACGTCATAATGTCATCAACCTCTTTTCTAAGCCTCCCGTCTAAAATTCAAAACAAATATAACGGATAAGTAAATGGAATATGTTTTGAAGTTTAACTGGAGCTTAATATTGTGTCCGTTCAGGCACGTGCAAATCAACGAGTAAGCACGTCACATCAAGTCATTTATGTGTTTTCCAGTGTTTTAGTGTGAACAGTCAAAAACGTTTGGAAAACTCTCTGAACACGAAGAAGCAATGTGTTTTTTGAAGGACGAAAACGGAGCGTTTCGAAAACATATTAGCGTGGACGGAGTGTAGTACATTCTTTTTATATTACAGCGTCCGTGATATCTCATCTTCCATTTTGAATGATTTCACCTCTAATCAGCATAAATTAATTTGAGTTTATGCCATTTTTAAACTCGAGTTTCTTTTTGTTTGCTTGTTAGTTTTTTGGGTTTATTTTTTTCTATTTTTTCAACATTGTAAGGGTCAAGGGTTACTCGTCTGAAGGGGCTTAAAGAAAATCCCAAAATTAGATGCTAATGAAACTTTTCATGATATTTTAACTGCTAATTTGTTCATAATGAATTTTTTTCATCACCCACGCGCGTAAAATTTGGGTGAATCTATGTATATTAGGTGAGCAATATCTTGACTTTATGGAAAATAAATCTTCCAGATAAATTCGTATCAGATCAGTTCCAGAAGGGCATGTTCCAGCATGTAATGATCTTTATCGGTGGAATTTCTGTTTACCTTTGGGCATTTCACAAATAAAGGCGTTGATTTCGGACCAAGAAATTGGGTAAAAAAGGCTATTATTCTTGGAAATTCCCCCCCGACCTTTTGTCTTTTTGTCCTTTAGTCGCCATTTCGAAATATTCAGTTGTGCTCCACTTTCCCAAGTCCAGGTCGTCGCGTTCTTTTTTAAACCAATGTGCCACCCAGTAGTATTCCAAGAAGAACGTTTTTTAATTTCTTGATTTATAAACTGCCATTCTTCTTCCGTTTCGATAGAAACAAGGTAACCTCCCTGATATTTGCAAGCCATCCTGTTCTTTCTCCAATTTCGTCCCCATTTCGAAAATGTGTACCAGGAATTTTTGAAACATGAATGTTGGCATTCTGAGACAAGGTGAATAAATAAATAAATAAATAAATAAATAAATACAACAAAAATATGTGGATTATAGTGATGATTAACAATATGATAGTGTTGATGTTAGAGACAAAAACTACTGATTATCATGTCAATGATTTTATTCATAAACGATGAGCATAAAACATTTTACCTCGCTGAAGCAAACCTTGAAATGAATCTTGGCTTTAAAAATGGAAATTGGGGAGATCTGGATGGTGGTAGTGTGATTCTTCAACTATGTTGTTTTGTTTCCAACTCACGATTAGAACCACAAGCCTACTAATGTACTTTCAACTGGCAGTCCATGACTGATTGTTCTTATAAATCAGTCGGAATTTCCCCTTTTTTAGGTTCTGTTTTAGGTATAAAATTATTAAGTTGGAATAACGCCGTCTCACCTGTTCCTTTCCATTGCATCATTAGAGTAACAAGGACTGCAGAAGAGAAATAAATTAAACATGTGCATTGACTTTTTGTAGGAATAATGTTATTTCAAGTTGAACTATTACTAACAAATTAATGGATGCATTTCCATTCGCGCGCAACTGGTCTAAGCGTGTAAAGTGACCGGATGGATTCTATCAAGACTGCCAAGATAGGCTCATCTAGCCTGCTCGGGTAGCCAATCAGAACACAAGGTTCCCTTTATATTGCCCAAGGGCGCTGCCGGCTGTATGATAAATTATGATATCATTCTATTTTTTGCCTTAACGCTAATTCAAGAGTTATTTACTATTTTTGGGTCGTTGGAGAAAAAGAAATAAGAATTATTGCTTATAGTCTTATAATTCATCGAAGATCAAAATTTTGAAAAGGATCCTCTGAAGTGTAGCCCGAACAAAGAAATTGCGATAACAGAAGCCTGAAAAAAAAATTCCGGCTTCTAGATTGTTCACCATTGTGCCTCGCAATATCTGGTTAGAGCTACATACAGTTAAAATTCATTGAAAATTAGAATTATCGTCTGCGACGAATGATGGCATACTGCTGCAGCTATGGGATTGAGGCAAAATATAACCATTTTTTCTTTCTTTTTCGCTTTTTTGCTAAGTGGAGTGGAACTCATTCATTTCTACGAGGTTTTTGTGTCCGCTTGGAGGAAAACCGTTTTACAAATCAAAGAGAAAAAAATAAAAAAGTGAAATATAATTTGAGGAAGAAGGCGCTTAATCAAAGGGATAACGAATCGAAAAACCTGCCAGATGTCTATCTCTATAGCTGACAGTAATCATTGCGAAAATTCCTCGCGCAAACTCTCTTCTGTTTTTCACTATCAATGTTTTCTTTAGAGCATGATTCTATAAATGAGCTCGGACGAAACTTCCTCTTCGTTTCGTATAGTACTTTTTATTTCGGCTGATAAAATTTCTTTCGTATTCTATTTATGAAACGACGAACTTTTTTTTGGCGTTCAATAGATTTATACGAATTTCGCCTGTGACATCCTGTGAAGGTAGCTTCAGAGGATAGTGACTGAGCTATTGGTTTTTTAAAGCTAAATATCGGTGCTCAAAACTGTTTTGCTGACCGTCACGACAGAACACTAATTATGGATAACAACGACAGCAGCAAACCTTTATTTAACTAGGGTAATCCCTTCAGAATACTTAAAAAGTATATCTGTTATCAATAGGAGCCCTAAAAACGACGACTTCATGATTTTAATTATATATGTCAGTCTGTTTAATTATTTTCAAATCATTTTGCATCGCATTGAAGCTAAATAAAATTTAAAAACACACTTACACACATCGCCTGTATTATTTTTATTTTATACCTTACTTATTCATTCATTTGTTCTCAATTTAAATTTGTTTTGTCATCAAGAAGCTGAATAAGCTACAATTGACGCATCCATTTCAGGTTTAATCTTGGCATGGGCCGCTGGCTGTCCCGCTACATTTCTTCATCGTAGCATTTACTACTAATTTTACATTTACAAAACATAACCAATCGATGTAATAAGGCTTGTATTTACTCAGCGAAAGAAGGGCTGTGATCAATTTACCGGATTAAAGCCCTTTCATCGCATCATTCACCATGAGATTCCATTAGCAGCTATCAGTATGCTTGTTTTGGTTCGTGACTTGGTGGCATCTTGTGTGCTACAGATGTGTCAATGTATTTCAAACCGCTAATGTAATGGACATTAAAACACTTAGTCGCTTCTTGCTGACGTAAGTCAACATTTACTTTCCTTTCAAACAGGCACCTACAAGTTTAAAGAATTTTTGGACCAGCCGCAAAGAGATGTTTTGCGCAATAAAAACAAAAAAAATGCGATGAACAAAAGCTTTGATCTCTTAAAGACTTCCCTTTAGTTAGCTTTGTTTGTAGGCGGATAAACGCTCGTGCTGCTGCACTAATAATGATGGCCTGGTAGAAAAAAACCTTTTTTACCCAAATCCTCTAACATTTCACGAACACAGGTTTCTTTCAGTAATCTGAATCAAATTTATCGTTGCCTCGATTCATTCCCATGTACATGGGTTTTCATTGGAAGCACAGATATATTTTCTGAGTCTTCCATATCCTGGAAAAGTAAATTTGGAAGGAAAATAATAACATAAGCCGTGAACATATAACAAGTGACAAGAAAATTTTTGCCATGAGTTGCGTGCAGCTCCGCAGATTGATCTACCGCAGACGGTTGTATTTCACGGTTTTTCACCTCACTTTCAAATTCAAGGCCTGTTTGGGCTGAAAAAAATTCATTTGCATTTGCATTTGCATTTGCATCACAGCACCTTAATGAAATTCTCCAGTGCGCTGCAAAGTCGATCTTGCTTGGGCTGCTACAAAGTTAGCATCCTCTAATTTACAAACTTTTCCTGTGTTCTCCTGACGTCCCAAGTGATTTATTAGGCGTGTTTACCGATAAAAAGTGTGGTTTATAGTGTTAGTTTGTAAGATTTTACTTGGAGATATTGTTTTTCTGTCGTTGTGAGGGCAATAAGCTCGAGTCTCGCCAGAGAATTCTGAAGAAGTCACGATTTTCGGAATAAGCTTGTGGCACTAATCTAGTGAACAATGATTTATGTTTTAAAAAGAACTTTTGTACTCACTCAACAGAGTCATTGATAATAGGACTGTTCCCCATATCTGACAAAATTTCGTCAACATTTCTTTTTCTCTGTGAGGTTAATTTTCTGTCAGCATTATGTTTCCCCAACTCTGATCTTTTTCCCTGTTTGGCAGTATCAGGTAAATGGGAATTCCTTTTTGTAAACCTTTCAAGACGAGTCTCCTGCTAAAAGGATGAGCTTTCTAGCATGAGTTGTTTTAAGTGAACATCATCCTTCTGTTGCTAATAAATTTTGCAGGAAATTGAATGTCATGCGAATTCTTGACGTCTTGTCTTCGGTTAAATTCTTTGCACCTGCTTAAAACAAACATGGCAAAATAATCCATTAATATCGAAAGAAACTATTTCATTTCGTAATTCTTTCGGTAAAATAGAGTGCGACCCACAATCATGCAGTGAGAAAAAACAAATTAAATTAAACAATTGTGAACTCCCCAAGCCCGAGAAAGTAACTATTTAGTAGCAATTATGACAAAAAATTGCTCATGTCATTTTTACGGTTGCCTACTCACCATTAAGATTCCTTGTTTACTTAGCTATTGAAATGGTACTTTTGGTGTTTTTAGAGCGCCTAAAAAATTCCAACTGCCACGGAACAAATATGTTTCTACTTGAAATAATTTACTAATTTAAAATAATCCTACAACTTAGATGATAACGCTGTCTTAACTTTCCCTGCCGTTACTTCTCCATGGACACTCAAATATCATCTTTTAATTTATTTAATTCATTTTGGATACATTAGTTTGGAATTTTTGGGGTATGCAGACCATTCTTTATCATACTATCATTATATCGAGAGAATAACAAGAAGTATATCTGGGTCATTTCGCTTAAATGAGATATCAAAGGTATCGCTCAACCACGACTGTGTTCATCGCTATTCCGTTGCATCAATAATTAAGAGCAATGGTGATTAAAGGTTTTCGTGCTCCTCGATATATGTCTGCACTTATATCTTGCTTGAGTAATATATCCTTAAAGAATCGTCATAAAGCTCTGATATTACATCTATCCTCTTGCTAATGCAACGAGAGAACATAAAATAGGTGGGCGTAGCTAGGTCTCTCTAGGTCTCCCCCTCTTCCCCTTTCGAAAGAAGGGGGAAGTGGGGGGTCGTCGTTACAAACGTGTGCGTGCGCACCTCACGTAAAGTGGCGTTAACTTATATCTAACGAGCTTGTAATCACACAGTGGAAGGATTATTCAACATTTCAGAAGATTTTGTGGCAATGGCTTCATATTTAAAGAAACAAACCAAAAAACAGACAAAAACATAACAGAGCAACTTAAACACTCACTCGAGAGTAGTTGGACTTCTCAGGCATCTTAGAATCTTCCCCTGGGGAGATGGGGTTAGGGGTGTGAGAGCGAAGAGAGGGTGGTGAAGATGGATTTAAAACCCCTTCCTCTCTTCCACCTTATAATGGTTTACTCTAAGCATTGATCAAAACTCAGAGGGATTCTTCCCTACGGGACAGTGGAAGTTTGTTTCATTGCTTCTCAGTACACCAATTTTAATCCAAAGTGATCAAAAGTGACTCGACAGGGTACAAAGTGCCTCGTCATGAGAACAAATATAACAGATTACTAAAAGGTATAGTTGGTTCACTCGTTTTTAATTATTTATCATTTTATCTGTTGATTTAATTAATTTATTAATTAAAAATTAAAAACTTGACATTTACCACTGCTATTACAAAAGTACGATCGTATTTGGTATTTTCACAGGTAGCTTAGTGTTACCTTGTGTACTCAAAATGTGGACCAATATTAAGTCGTTATAAATATTGGTGAACAGTGGTTTAAAGGAAATACAGTAAAATGTGTATTAGTGTTAAACAAGTGAGACTTGAATGTATGATACGATTTTAGATAATCGACTCTTATTTTCGTTCTAGTGAATCCAGTTATTTAAGCTTTTTTTTTTTCATTCCAACTTATTTTAAGACTGCTATTCAACTGCCCACACATCACCGACATCACTTGGATTAACCTGTGAGCTTTTCCTTGTGGATTTTTCATTTTTAAAGTTGGAAAAACGGTATCACTAAAAGTCGTTAAAATTGGATTACTGAATACTGTATTCTGCTATTCTTTGAAGGACTGCATTTCTACTGCCCTCACTTCGCTGGCATCTCTTGGATTAACTTGAGAGCTCTTCTTCGCAGAGTTTCCATGATCTACAGCAGATGGGAAAATGATGTTCATCTTCCTTTTTAATTGCTCTCTAATCTGCAGATGAACAAGCAACCAAGTATCAAATGGTAACCGCCAAAATCTTTAATGATGTCTAGCAAATTTACAATTCGTCTTATGTACATCCTCAGTTTGATATTCATCATACCTGGCTGTTCCGCACACAATGAAGAACGAAAATCAGGATTCCCTGAAACAGATAATTATATCAGTATTACACTTTTTGTAATCCGGGTGAGAAAGGTGATAACGGTATGATCGTTTGAGATGAAACCACAATAAAGGTGGCGAAAGAATGAATTAAAGCAAGTCGCATATCTCTTAAACCAATAAAGATTGTCTGCTGTTAGGTAAATTGTTTTGAATAGGCAATATCATCTGACCAAAAGAGACTTTTTTAGGCAAAAGAGTGGTTTGAGCATTTAAGTATGTGAACAGATGGCTGAAATTTAATTATAGACTAACTTTTATTAAAAGCTCACCTGAGTAGAGCTGAAAATGGTGAAAAGGTAGGCGAGAGCTTTGTGTGATGATAGCAAAAGACCAAAAAGCCATGTGACACCCAGCAGTGGAATCATCACCGCGCATGTTTTAATGCCAAGTCTGAATAATGAGAACAACATATCACGAGGATCGATTAACCATTTCTTTCCGTCACGGGAAAAAAATCGTATTGCTTCATCGTTGCAAACGAACGAGAGTGGAATCTAGGCAAATACTGCTAGACTAAATGCGGCAATAATTTGATTTCATTACTCGAGGAGTCTTTGCAGAAAATAGTTTTTACTTACCTTTCCCCCCTCCCTGAATTTTAACTAGTTTACCACAATTATCTAATAAATGTTAAATTTGAAAACTTCCCGTATCTGCTGTAAATGGTTGTCTTCCCCCGTGGGTTGTGTTAATGTGCTCATCTCCTTTATCATTCGGACGAGTATCAAAATGTTGAGCTGAAAAAAATAAGGATTATGAAATGTATCGCTGAAAACAGAAAAATTGTCATTCGTTCTGTTACGAGCGTTTGAAAAAAGAAAATTCTGAATCTTTATAGAAAATTAAACCCCGGTGTTCAGCTAACCAACGCGCTCCGACGTCTCTATAATGAGCAGCAGAGAACTGTGTGCTGCGCCACGCTATTACTTGGTTCATACACAGGCCAAGAGGAATGGAACTTGGAAAGACACAAGGGAATATCAATTGGAGTTGATATTCTTTAGAAAGACGGTGAAGGTTTACTAATAAAAATCTTTAATAATAGGCAGTCCTGGTGTAGGAAATAGCGATAATATTACCGACAATTATCATAATAATAATAACAATAATAACAACGCAGACTCACAACTTCAATGACAGCTACAAATGTGACGAAGATCCAGATCAGGTTGTTTCTCGAGGACAGCCAGCAACTGGAAACGAGTATATAAAAAAAAAAATTAAATTCCAGAAAATAATCTTCAGAGGACAACACAAATCAAACACAACAGCATAATAAAACAAGGCAACTCCAAGTGAAAACAAATGGAGTGATAAAGTAAGAAAGTTGTTTCTCATACTATTTTTCACTGGTATAGCTTTCAATTCCATCTTTTCCAGCAGCGATGCTCATTGAAATGCTAACCATGATGATGGGCAAACCTAAACATAAGTAGAATGAAGTTAGTGCAACTCGAGAAGTCATACTTCCGATTCAGCAGCTTACAATAATTTACAACAAGTGAAATAACAATACCCCATGATATGAAGTGATACATATGCATCTTGGTGCCGATGTTATAAACTTTCACAACAAATAGGACGAAATAAATTTCCTCCACCAGCATCCAACAGAAAGCTACCATCAGGAAATACTGCAAGAAAGCTGCTGTTAGGACACAGAGAGCCTGCGAGAGTGAAAAAAAAGGTTTTGTAGCTTTTTCATATTATTTTTAAAAGAGAATCTGTTTGGCCCCTAAAAAGCAAATAAACCATATATAGATATACAACACTTACGGTATTTTCTGTAGCGTTTATGCCGGCGAGAAAGACTATTTGTCCAGCTCCGAGGGACAAAGAAAGGCTCAGTCGTATTTGAGTCAGAGGTTGCCATACGTCTCTAGTGAAACAAGCAAGCAATAAAAAAAACCGACAAACAAACAAAAGAAAAAGCAAAAACTCAAAGACGAGACAGAAACAAAAACAAAACGAAGCAATATTTGACAAGGTATTCTATTAATTTTGTACTGTACTACTTTAGACATCCTACCGGCTTTCGCTCATAAATTTAATTGATCTCTATGACATTTTAATCATCTTAATTCGTTATTATTTTATTTGTTCAATAAACTTTTGAATTTCATCGATATTTTTTTTAAGAACTTGTCTCTTCTACGCCCCAAATCATTCAAGGTCTTGCAAAGACTTGGTTCTTTGAGCGTATGGTTACAGTACTTACGTGAGGTAGGAATATAGAATAATTGTCAAAAGAATTCCGAAGATGGAAAGGCACAATCCCACGTGGGTGATAATTTCATGAATAGTTTCGTCTTCCACAGTGAGCTGTGAGGAGAGATGAATATTCAGCGGATTCGTTACTTAATCCAATGAAATTTTATTACCAATACTAAAGGTAAGGTGAAAATCAATTCATTACCCCTGGGATACCGTTGTAGTCAAGTAAGACAGCAAAATTAGTCAGATGATTGCAGCTGCAAACTGTTTCTTCTGAATTGCTTTTCGATGTAACCACATGGCATCCTGTCTCTGAAAATCCGCCTAAGCTGAAAATAATGAAATAATAATCAAAATAATAATCATAATCATAGTAATAATTAAAATATAAATTGAAACTACCCCGAAAACTCATCAGGGCACCGAGGGGTTTATTTTCTGTCTTCCTTGCGCTGAGTTCATAGCCTTTAAACATCGTCGAGTACTTTCGAATTTGACGTTTGTCGACATCTTCTCCTTGCCACCCGTGGATTTGCCTTTGAGTGATCATAGTCAGCATTCCAAATTGAGTAAAATGGATGCTGATGACATTGATATTCAGGCTATGCACAATTCTTAAATAGACTCGTAAAACATTGATACAACCTAACTTAGGTAAAAAAGCAAACAAGAAAACAAGCAAGGCTGGAAACACACTGAAACAAACAAACATGATAATACAACCAAACAAATCAATAAACATATAACGATAATAAATGGAAGGAATCTATAAGCAATGGATATATATATATATATAGCCATGGAAAGAGAAAATAAAAATAGCAACAACAAAACCTTCCAAAAAAGGTAACATATACCAAATCAATGCCTTCATTTTAAAAAGAAAGAGATTGACCTTGAAAGGCCTTTTAATAATGTAGGGAAAGTTTCAACGTTTCTTCAAAGTCGAGTGAGGAATTATTGACGGTTAATAATAACCCTAGAAAAACACCCATTAAAGTATAATAATAATTACATTTTTCTTCATAATTTTAGAAGAATAAATTACTCCTGGAACAGGATGAAAAATACATTCCAGCTGTTACCTTTCACTTGAGCCACTCCAAAACATGCATTTCTTCTCTCCTTCATGAATCTATGCTCGGAATATAAACACTGAAATCATATACTCGGAATAAATATCACAACGTAAAACAATGTATACTGATTTTGATCCTATTCTTACCTTCAGATTTCTGAACCTTAAGATGATATTCTCTTGTAATTTTTCTGGATTTGGATCTAAAGCCACGGCCGTTATCCCGGAGTCCAAATACCTCAGGAGGAAATAGAATATCAGTATGAAACAGATTAATCTAAAGCATAGTAATCACTCATGAAAATAGCAAGCTAGGAGCCCGCCATTATCAACACGGAAAATCGTTAATTCACATGACTAATTATCTCTCAATAGGGTTTTGAAAATTTTACGACCTTATAGGTTCAACCTTTTGTGTATTTTCGATTGAGGGGGCATTTGGTTAAGAAACTTTAGGAGGTAACCTCACCTTGTGGTGCCCGTTATAGTTCTGTTGGGTTGATCTGTAATCAATACTTCATGGAGATCCTTGTACAAGATCCCAACAACCACTGATACTAAAAAAAGTAAAAAAAAAAAATAGGCTACAACATGACAATATGAAATCCAAGCAGCCAATGCGGATATTTGAATCAAACAGATTATGTAAACCAACAAACAAACTTGTATGTATTTGTCGATGTATTTCAAAACTGTAAAATCTTGGAGAGCAAATTGTGCTTTGTCCTAGTGCATCAGAGATTTAAAAACTGAAGTCAATACAAACCGTTGTTGGCAAAGTTTCTAGAGGATACTTCCAGGCTCGTTTGCAGTTCTTTTTTTCCAAGGTAAAAGTCACTAGCATTTTTGCAGTAGGCTTTTTGTATAGCCAACACTAATGGAGAAAAAAAATAGAGACGAAATTAAGAGTCACACATTTTCGAAGAAATATTTTTTTTTTATGTTGGTCCGAAAGTAAGTCATAATCCTAATATGATTATTATACTTGCTTGAAAGCTATGTATTCCTTACGTAGTCTTCTAAGAGGTGAAGTTTGAACGCTTTTCAACATTCTAATCGCCAAAAAGATTGTCCATTATCACTATGATTGATAAAAATAAATGGTCTATGGGAGGGAGGAACCGGCTTGATCTGGCTACAGCACTTATCAACAGGTCCCATGCAAAAAAAAATTAAATCATGAAAGCAGCCGTTATGTCATCGGTCAATGTGTCGGTCACTAAACAAGTAATGGATTATTTCAAATCCGAACGAATAATCATGCTCTGACTCACCTAGTTTTCGGCTGTTTATCTCCACTGAAGAATTCGCTCCAGTCATTTGGTGTTTGCCATAATTAAGGGCGAATACCTCCAAGGCGACTGCCACCTTAAAGATGGAATTTCTTATTATTTTGAATTCTTCTTCGGCAAGAGGTTTTTGGAGGATTTGGAGCCTGGTGATGAAGTCTTCAAAAATCCATACAGCCTCCTGTAATCACATAACGTATTTCTGTTAAAGTAAGATGCTAAAAATTTGGATCCATGTGAGTCAAACACGATATTTGAGTGTCCTATGAGTATTGAGCCGCAGAACCCTTGATCGCGGTCGAACATTTGAACAAAACAGTTTGAGTTAACGGCAACGCATTCAGCATGCTAGAAAGGCCCATATTTCGTCTACTCCTACTTAGATTACGAAAAAAAATTGAGATAGAAATGAATTAGACCAAAAATAGGTAAAAGAAATAAATCCAGCAAAATGGCCAAATGGTGAATAGGATGTGCATGTGCTAAAGAAGTGTCCAAAAACTGGTCCAAGAAATCGGAATTATCTTTTTCGGGAATCACTTTTTTTTCACTCATGCCAGTTCATATCTTAGAAATGGAAATGATATAGATAGTGACGATGATACTGTCATAATAACTATAATAACGACGATGATAATGATGACGATGACGATAATGGTACAGTCTTGTTTGCTCTTGTTCGAATGAACTCAAAGTTTTTTCAAGCTTAGAAACTGATGCAATGCATTGTTCATTCTTTCTAATCACTGTGCATTTCATATAAACTAAGTGGCTTAATCATAAAATATAAGTAGTAAATTCATACCTTCAAAGGCCTGATTCTACTGATTTCTTCTCCTTTTAGTTTGGAAACAGAATCGTTTGCCTGAGATAAAGAAAGACAGTAAAGTTGGCGAGCAACAATGTTGTAAATAAAAAGCTTGAGAGAAATAATTTGCTCACCAGACTCTTAATAATTTCTAATGTCGATGACAGAGGTGTCCGTAGAGACGGAGACGACGATGATCCTGCTGCCGATGTTTCAAATGACGATGGTAATAATGGTGATGATGCTGATGCTGCTACTGATGCTGCCTCCGACGATGTTGCTGATGATAATCGTGATGTTGCTTTTGGCTTTGATGATGATGGTGACAGTGCTGATGAAGATTCTGATGCCCCTGCTGTTGATATTGCTTCCAATGATGCTGCTGATAATAATCCTGGTGCTAATGCTGATGCTGATGTTGCTACTGGCTTTGATGATGATGGCAATAGTGCTGATGTCGATGTTGATGTCCATGCTGGTAATATTGCTGCTGATGGTGGGTGTGATGAAGGTGATGGTAACGGTGAGATTAATGCTAAAGGTGACTGCGACATTGATTGCAATCGAGCTGAATGTTAAAGACCATTTAATTGTTAAAATAAACTTGACGCTATGGTAAGGTGCGACGAATTTTGAAAGAAAATATTTTCTATTTCTTTTTCAGAATCTTAATCACTTTTTCGTTAAATAAAAAAAGATGGTTTTAAGTATTCAAAGTATTATTGTACTCACTGTAAGCTTCTGTTCCATGTCCTGTTGAAATTTTAGTTGCGAATACTCGAATTGTTGAAGCCCCAATAGATGTAACGATATTCGACGTGTATGAATCTGAAGTGATGGAGTGACCGTCACACATCTGTGTACAATCGTTAGCGTTAAAATGCGTATTGCACACCTGTACTTCATCTGTGCAACTTTGTGTTTTACATTTTCTCCCGCTGCAGGTCAGGTTACATACTTTGGCATCGCAGATTTGTTCACAATCCTGGCTGTTACATTCTAGATGCATTTCACATACATCTCCTTTACCTCGGCACTTTTGAGTTTTACAGTTTTTCCCGGTACAGTTCAGATTACATTTTTTAGCCTCGCAAGTTTGTTCACAATCCTTACCGTCACATTCTAGATCCATTTCGCATACATTTCCATGATCTCGACACTGCTGTATTCTACAGTTTTTCCCGGTGCAATTCAGATTACATTTTTTAGCCTCGCAAGTTTGTTCACAATCCTCACCGTCACATTCTAGATCCATTTCGCATACATTTCCTTGATCTAGACACTTCTGTCTTTTACAGTTTTTCCCGGTGCAATTCAGATTACATTTTTTAGCCTCGCAGGTTTGTTCACAATCGTGACCGTCACATTCTAGATCCATTTCACATACATTTCATTTACCTCGACACTTCTGTGTTTTACAATTTTTCCCGCTGCAGTTCAGATTACATTCGTAGGCGTCGCAGGTTTGGTCACAATCGCTACCTTCACATTCCAGATCCATTTTACAGAACTCAACTCCAGTATAGCACGTCTGTTTACACTCTTTCCCCTTGCATTTCATATAACAGCAATAATTACCACTGCTGCAATTCCCGAGTGGATAACAATGATCGCCTCTATTTTCACTTTCCGAGTGACATTTTTTGGAATCGCAATCTTTTACAGTTTGATTAGGAAAAGCAGAATTAAGAAGGAAGTCGTGACAAATTTCCATTCTCTTTTAACGCGCGTTATCGTTCGCATGTCACTAAGATGAGCTTTTGTCGAATTGGCCTCCCGTCTTTGAAAATCGACTCGAGCGTGTTTCCGCAAAACAAAGAATATTCCTAAATAAGACAAACTTGTCGTGATAAGCGGAAATGTCGTGTGGAAATGTATATCTATGGAAATATACACATCAATTGGAATCCCAGCAAGTTGGAGGCAGGGAAAAATCGCAGAAAAAAATAACGGTGATTGAGTTACATAAGACAAGTGTCTTTGGTTTAATCGTGCTTAGATAAAAGTGTGGACAAACGACCGATGCAATACTCTTATCATGACATCAGTCCCGGAAATATTATTACTGCCTAATAAGGGATTTTTTTTCAAAAATATTCGAACCTACAGGAAAGGATACGTATATATGAATTGAATGTCCAAGAACCTGAAATGCATATCAGCCGCGCAACTTACTTCCCCTCCCTTGCTTTTGAATTTAAAATAAGGTGTCCAAATCTACTCCCCTCTAGGGGACAAAATTAAACGAAATAGACGTGACGTAATTTGCTATACTCCTGGTAATTTATATTTCCTCAAACTTGTTCCGGTGATAAGCAAGAAGTGTCAAATGCGAAAAATCGCTGTAAGAGTTCTCACTTGTGTATATGCATTCATATTACATCTATCGATGCTGACTTTTTCTCTAACTAGTTTCCATTCCAACATTTCAAGCAATACACTTGATCTTACATATTGATTCCGGGAAATTTGAGCATATTTGGTCATTTTCCTGACATGGATAAGAAAAAAAAGGTAAAGAAAAAAAATTATGTAGCTTTAAAAAATAACAATGATGACTAGATAGGTGAATATGTATTTATTATACATTTGTTTATTTATCCATTATAGCTATTCAATGTCACATTCAATTTGATTACGTATCTGACTAATTATATAGAACACGAAAACAGATTAAAGAACAAGGCGGTAAAATCGTTGATATGTATTTTAAACACAGTTTACAGGCAATCAAGCTTTTACACAGTTTTTTAATTTAACCGAACCTAAAAAATTAACAATAAAAGTACAGACATTGTGGTCGACTAACTTCAACGGCTTGGTATGTAAAGCACTTCTACAAGTATTAACACTAGGCAGAAATATCTTATGGAGGCTGACAAACCGAGTGAGATTTATATCATTGTATCCGTCCCGTTAAAACGAGGGTCCATGCATGTACTTTTGTTGCTGGCAGTGCTGTCTCCAATTTATCCAAGCTACCTTTGCAAAGAGCCTACTTCCTATCGAAACAGATAGACCCATGATTTTCCAGGATGCCGACTGGGGCCCTTCTTAATTACAAATAAAGTCAACAGCTAATAGCATTATAAAAGCGGTTTATGTATTTATGTCATTACGTTAATAACCAGAATGGCCCTACCTTACTGAGAGAGGGGGGAGGGGGGGGAGGGGGGTGTCGTGGTCTATTAAACCGCAGAACCGAAAAAACATTTAAAACCGCAAGAAAAATTCGCTAAAAGCCGAAAATCGCATCCAAACCATCAAAACCGGGTTTTCACATCCTAGATGCCAAAACCCTAATCGATCCGATACAGTTGACAGATGGAGCGCAAAGAGGTTTCACAGCTATGTGAGATCCATGGAGGCAAAAAACCGCTGTCAGATCGAAGAGGAACTGGAACCCCAATAGGAAAAACCGAAAACTACTTCGGATACCAAATCTAAAAACCTATTAGTATTTTTGATGAAAACCGAAAACCAAGAGCCAAAATTCGGAAATACGCCAACCACAATAAACAGCAAAACTGTAAAACCGAAGTTTTTTTGGCACATAACCGAAGAACCGATCTAAAAAAATGACCAACACCGTAAAACTAGAAATCCTAATGCCCCTTCCTTACTGATACTACGATACTAACCAGGCTCTACTAAGGAACTACTAAGGGAAGATCATGCTAATTAAGTGATTGCCAATCACTAAAAGAGGATTGACGAGCCTCAACGAGGCGCAGTGCTTTCATGCATCGAAAGACTGCATTTCGACTGCCTGTATTTTCCCGGCATTACTTGCGTTAACTCGTGAGCTCTTCCTTGCAGAGTTTCCAACTTCGGAAGATGGAAAAATTACGTTCATCCTCCTTTTCAATCGATCTCTAATCTATAGATGAACAAGCAGCCAAATATCAGTTCTTAACCATCCAAAGCTTAGTGATTCTAAAGTCTTCACAATTCACTTGATCTACCTCCTCAGTTTGATATCTTTCTTACCTGGCTGTTTCGCACACAATGGAAGAAAAAAATCAGGAATCCCTAGGACAGAAAATTATTTTAAGATCAGCCTTTTTTAGAGATGGTAGCGCGTCGTTTAAAAAGTTTGATGTAGTGCAAACATCATGTAATCTCTATCTTGAAATCGTCGTAAAAAAAGGGTAAAACAGTAAATTAAGAGAAGTTGCAGATCTCAAAACCAAGAAATAAATCCTCTCTTGTCGACTAGGTTCCCCTTGAACGGGAAATATCATCAGACTAATGTAAGAATGTAGTTTGGACACTCTAGTCTGCAAACAGATGATTAGATTTCCGACAGTTTCATTAAACTCTCACCTGAGAAGAATTGACGATGGTGAGATGTAGGCGAAAGCTTTTTTATGATGACGACAAAAAGACTTAATACTCACCTGAGTAGAGTTAAAGATGGTGAAAATGTATGCGAAAGCTTTGTGCCATGGCGACAAAAGACCGAATAGCCACGTTATACCCATCAGTGGAATCATCACCGCGCATGTTTTAAAGCCAAGTCTGCCGGAATAGCGACAACATTAAAAAACATTTGAATTATTTTGACGATTGTTTCTTTTAATTTCTCATTGTTTAAAAGGCGTTGTTTAAAGAGGGTAAAAACACTTAACAGTAGCCCTAACCCTAAGACACTGATGACTCTGTGTTTAATGCTAACTAGTATGGAACTGAGGTAAATACCTCACAACTAGATGCTACAGCAATTGGTTAACGTTTCTTCAACTTTTTTCCCTCCACTGATTAACATACTTCACTAACAGCAAATTTTAAATCTAACCGTATCTGCTTAATATGATTGTCTTCCCCCATAGGTTGCACTAGCGTGGTCATCTCTTTTATGACTCGGACGAGTATCAAAATGTTGAGCTGAAACAAACAAGGAATGTCAAATGTTGGCAGAGTGCTTGTTGCTAAGACGAGTAATGCTGAATACATAGTGGGTGTAAACGGAGTTGGAAAGGTTGTGAGCTTTGAGCCTGGTAGTCGAAAACAGAAATATGCTTTTCGTTTTGTAATAAGCATGGGATCGAGAGAGACAATCTCCACCGGTGGTCAGTCTTGGCATTAAATTGGATTGGCTAATTGTAGACTCACCACTTCAACAAAAGCCATAAATGCGGCGAATATCCAGATGAGGTTGTTTGAGTAGGATAGCCAGCAACTTTAAACGAGAAACGGAGAGAGAAAAAGATAAACATATTTTTGCTGCAAATAATCCTCTAACCCAGTAACCAAGAGAAAGAGAAGAGAGGGAGGGAGGGAGACAGAACGAGAGACAGAGACAGAGACACAAAACCTGGATAAAAACGCAGGGACACAAAAATCTACGAAATGAAAACGAACTAAAACACAAGATTGTGGAAAAACAGTTGTACTTAAAAAAAGATACATTTTTGTGGGAGACAGGAAGTGTGGAGAAGGAGAAAAAAGAACTAATGTCGAAAGATTCTCTTACTATTTATCACTGGTAAAGCTTTCTATTCCATCTTTCCCAGCAGCGATGCACAATGAAATACCGACCATGACGATGGGTAAACCTAAACATAAGTAAGATGTCAATGCAAGTCGATTCAGGTGATCATGAAGTCAAACAATTCAAAACAGGTAAAATGAAAATACCCCATGACATGACGTGATACATGTGCATCTTTTCGGTGATGTTGTAAACTTTCACCACAAAGAGGTAGAGGTAAAATCCCTCCACCAGCATCCAACAGAACGAAGCCATCAGGAAATATTGCATGAAAGCTGCAGCTGTAATACAAGAGGCCTGAGAGAGAGGGAAAAAAGTTGACTACTTTTCATGCATCTTTTCAAAAAGATCTGGTGTACTTCTTAATGCTCGTCTTGAGTCTCGTTAAACAAATATTCATCAATGGATGAAGAAGTCGCTTACCCTGTTTTTTGTGGTGTTTATCCCGACGAGAAAAATAAATTGTCCAGCTCCGAGGGCAACAGAAAGACTCAATCGTATTTGTGACAGAGGCTGGTGAACATCTCTAGAGAAACAACAAATAACTGAGAAGCAGACTAAAACAAAAACAAAACCGAACAAAACAAGGGAACTTTATGTTCCAACAGGTAGTTGTTTCAATATGCATTGACTGAGTGTCTATCTTTTCAAGAAGAGGTCTTACTTACGTCTGACATCTTTAAAATAATATAATGTTTCAAAATTTCTGGCTGTAGCACTTACGTAAGGAAGGAATATAGAATAACTGTCAAAATTATTCCTATGATTGAGAGGCTTAATCCCACGTAGGTGATAATCTCCAGAACAGTTTCGTCTCCCTCAGTGAGCTGCTTCATAAATGGCATGAAAAGAATTAGAAATGTGTCAATCACCTCAAAGGAATT